AAAAAAAGAACAAGAGAGGCAATCTACATAGAAAGCATGCCAGGAGCTCAGCTCGAGTCGGCTCCCCAGGTTCGAACACCAGCTCTGGGGCTCGCAGGCCATTCCTTCACTTCTCCCGACATTGCTTTACTCCCCTGTGAAGCGGCGGGGCCATTCCTTCACTTCTCCGGACATTGCTTTACTCCCCTGTGAAGCGAGGGTGCCCAGAGCTCCTGCCTGTCTGTCAGCAGGACAGCGTGTTAGTCGTGCACACCGGACGCACAGGACAGCAGCCGGCACAGAGAATCCTCAGTAGACGGATCCACGAAGACGGGCCTGGCCGGATGTCTCTACGGAGCCCATAGATCCCACTCACGCGAGATCACTGAGCCCTCAGGCCGGAACCACTGGCCCCAGGGGCAAGTGGCCCTCTGCACAGCAGGTGAGCCCCAAGAGCCAGCCGCGAGGGGCTGCAGGAGGCAGCCTGTCTGGCCCTCACCCGCTCCTTGCCGCTTGACCATGGGCAGAGGTGGCGCCCCACTCTCCAGCTGATGCCAACCCCACCTCAGAGGTGTCCTGCCACCTGCAAGCACCTCAAGGCAGCGAAGGTGAGAGGCCCCCAGGGAAAGGAACCTCTGTCGGAGGAAGATCCTTCCGTAAGCCCACACATTCCACCCAGCAGAGCTAGGCCAATAGCACGCCAGCTCCGAGCGTGAGTTATGGACACGGCTCCTCCCCAGTGCCCAGGGCACGTTCCCCTGCCACTTAGCAGGCAGAGATCTTTCTAAATGTCATGGCAACATGCCCCTCCAGCCTTGCAGGCCGCCCCGGGCAGCCCTCCTGACCTCCCGAGCCACGCCAGGCCCTACTCCCTTCCAGGTGCAGCACCATCACCACCTCCCACATCACCTACCCCACCCACCACTCGATCCTTCATCCTCGTGAGACCACAGGCCTTGGCCTGCACTATCCCCGCCTGTGCAAGTTCCCAACCCCCGATAGGGTCTAGGCCCAGTGTCAACTTCTAAGAACCTCCCACCTCCCCTGATAGGCCCAGGCCAATGTCCACTTCGCCCGCCCCCGAGAAAGCCATACTCTTTGAGCCCACAGCCGCCAGCCCCATCCCCACCGCACAGGCCACGTTTGACCCATTCGTCCACTCCATGTTGTTGGGGCATGTCGTGGGCCGAGCCACCCTTGACAGCCTCCCCCTCCTGGTCAGACAGTGTGGCAAGTGGTGCCACTCCACAATTCAGCCGGGCACAGGTAGCCCAGGGCCTGGCACATCACTCCTGGCAGTTGCTTCGCCCACAGTGACTCCTGTCGTGGGTCTTGGAAAAGGCCTCTGGGCCCTGCCTGGGGTGCCACCTGTCTTTTGAGACCCACAGCAGGTGGGAGAAGCAGTCACCCCACCGGAGCATCCCCTCCCGGGTGGGGGGCCAGCCCTGGGCAGTGTGCAGTCCGGGGAGGAGCGGGCACAGGCTCTGCAGGAGCCCCTCCCAGCCCAGCCTTCACGTTCTGGCCCAGTCAGGGCTCTCGATTAGCAAGTTCCAGTTTGAAACATCAATATTTAGAGCTCTGAGCCTGCCAAGCAGAGGGAAAGGCCTTGCTTGTAAATATTTGTCTCCACTGGCAAAGCCAGCCTCCGGCTCGCCGTGGCTACCCCGCCTCGCTCCTGGCCCTCTGCTCCTAGCTCCCAGCCAACTGCACAGCGGGACACCCGGGGGGCGGGAGGGACCGTCTGGCGGCCACATGGGGCACTGCACGAGGTGGGCGGCCCAGCACCCACACCCCACAGTACAGGCCTACCACGGGGCCGCCCAAGGCGGCGGCCCTCCATCTGTCCCTGGGCAGGGACAGCGATGCCCTGCTGTGAGGATCCTCTGGATTCTCAGGAAGCAACTCCTCCCAAGGATGCCCCGGGTTTAGTTCTTTCTTATTCTGGAAAAAAGGCACAAAGTCAGAGACGAAGCCCTGGGGATGTGCCGTGGATCGCCGACTGTCACCAACACAGGGGACAGCGCTCCTGCTTTACCAGCTGCCACGGAGGAGCCACGTCTGGTCCCTGGTGTCCTGGGGGCCACAGAGGCTGCTGTGCCTCTCACTGGGGAAGCCATCTTGATGGCCCTTCCCAGACAGTCATTCACTTAGAAAAAAAGCATTCATTAATTCATCAGTCTTCACTGAGCACCATCCTCTGGGGAGAGGTGTCCCAGGCCAGGAAGTCCCAGCAGTAAACAGAGTCACAACCGAGACAGGGCTGGGGCCTGAGGGGGACCGGAGGGGCGGGTACACCTGGTCCAAGGGGACTGGAGGGGTACACCTGGCCTGAGGGGACTGAAGGAACGGGTACGCCTGGCCTCAGGGGACTGCAGGGACGGGTACCCCTGGCCTGAGGGGACTGCAGGGACGGGTACGCTTGGCCTCAGGGGACTGCAGGGACAGGTACGCCTGGCCTCAGGGGACTGCAGGGACAGGTACCCCTGGCATGAGGGACTGCAGGGAGGGGTACCCCTGGCCTGAGGGACTGCAGGGACGGGTACGCCTGGCCTCAGGGACTGCAGGGACGGGTACCCCTGGACTGAGGGACTGCAGGGACGGGTACCCCTGGCCTGAGGGGACTGCAGGGATGGATACCCCTGGACTGAGGGACTGCAGGGAGGGGTACCCCTGGCCTGAGGGACTGCAGGGAGGGGTACCCCTGGCCTGAGGGACTGCAGGGAGGGGTACCCCTGGACTGAGGGACTGCAGGGAGGGGTACGCCTGGCCTGAGGAGGTGATCAGGCTGGTGCAGGGAGGGCGACCATGGGCAGGGCAGCTACAGGGCAGGCAGAGCCCGGCCACGGGGACCTACCGAGCCACTCGTTGAACTTCTTCACCTCACTCGGGAGCCCCAGCTCCGTGAAGTCCCCCGCGTGGATCAGCACATCACCGTAGGGCATCTGGATGGGGTCCGTCCTCGAGTGGGTGTCGGAGACACAGACGAAACGGGTGTACCCGGGCGGCTTGGGGGCGTCATGAGGCACTGGGTCCACCCTGTAGGGAGAGCGTTCACTGCGGTCGGGCTGGCAGAGCCAGGAGCCTGTGGGGCGGGGTGCGGGGAGCATCTCCAGGATGTGGCCCAAGCTGCACCCCAGCCCCTCACCCGGATCAGCTCCAGCTAACATGGCCGGGCACCAGCTGTCCGGCCCAAGTCCTGGCTCTCCCGCCCGTTAGTCGGGCAACGCCCTTCTGTCCCGAGCCTCAGTTCCCTCACCGTGGGAACCTCAGGGGGCTGCGGTGCGGGTTAAAGGGACAAAGCCATAGAGGACTGCGTGGGGCCTGGACACACACAGCTCGCCGCAGCCCACCTGTGCCGGAGAGGGTGGTGCTCCAGCCCCTTCCCCGGTCACCGGGGAGCTTCGAAGTTCCGCTCCTCCTCACCACGGTGAAAGGGCGCCAGTACAGGGAGGCCGGGTGTGCAGGTACCGCCTATCTGCGATAGACCGAGTGTACAGGTTTCACACCAGGAGTGAGTTTTTGCCCTTTGGGGGCGCCGTTGAGAACCCACAGGCCTCCATGGAGATGGTGTGGACCAACTAGGTCAAAAGCACCCACTCCCCCGCACTGTCGTGTGCAGAGTGCAGGCAGCACCCCAGCAGAGTGGCATGGGAAAGGGGTGTTCAGGGAACATGTGAGGCAAGGCCCCACGAGGCAGGCAGCAGGGTTTTGAAAGCAGGAGAGCTAGCCAGCTCGGCGTCAGAACGAGGGCGGCCCGGGTGTGCAGGAAAGCACTCCTGAAATGAGAGGGCAACGCTCAAACCCCAGCCTGGCATTCCACGTGGGTGTGTGTCCTTAAGCGACACACACGGCCTGGGTTTGCATGTCTGTAAAAAGGGCAAAATACCCAAACACCCAAATACTTCAAATCAGCGGCATGAATGTAGGCCCCGTCCCTCAGGGCCCGGGACGGCCCTCTTGCGTAGCCGTGGACGCTGCGATCCAGTGGCCCGAGCACGTGGCCTTGGCACCCCGTGCGCAGACATGCACGGGGGCTCAGCACCCGGCTCTGGCTCCCTGCTCTGCGCCAGCCCTCTGCACACTGCCGCCCCAGCTGAATGACTTTGCCAGGCTCGAAATTCTTAAAAACAACGCAATGACATTTCAACAAGCAGCTCTCTCCAAATGAGTGTGCCGCTCGAGGAGTTGTGTTTAAATCTAATTATGCGGCAAACCGAAAGCAGTACCATATCAGTTACATAAATACTTTTAAAGACATCTTTCTAATTATCCTTTTTTTTTTTCAGACAATATACTTCGAAGAAATTTAATTAACACCTTACGAGAGACGTGGGTTCAGCATGCTAATGTGTGAGAGCCTTAGCACACGGGACCAGCCGCCATCATGCCAGCCTCTCCCCATCACCATACGGCACGAGGAGGAGCACCCTCGGCCCCTTCCTGGGCGTGGTAAGCACAGGTAGGAGCCCGGCAGGTCAGAGCGGGGCTGGAATGGGGGAAGAGGGTAAGCCCCTGGCGGTCCGTGATGGCTGGCCAGGAGGTGCCAGGGCTCTCCTCTTCTCCACCCAGTCATTCACTCTCGGGTTCACTCAACACAGCACACCCTGAACACCTACTGTGCACCAGTCCTGAGCTCAGTGTGGGGCGACAGGAGTCAGGCAGGCCTGACGACTGCCCACTGGGAACCACAGACCAATGGCAGAGACACTCATGCCAGACAGTGGCAGTACAGCCACCAGCCTTGACAGGGCAGCCAGAGACAGCCCTAAACAGGCCTGGGTCCTCCAGGAAGCGTCCAGCAGGAGGCAGTGCCTGGGATGATTTAGAAGCTGGAATCTCCCTCCCAGGAACCCCCACCAGCCCTGTCCTCTGGGGACCCTGCCCTGCCCCCATGATGGACGGCCGTGCAAGGCTGGCCGTGCTCCACCCACCCTGCTCATCCGCTGGGTGAAGGCCTGCACAGGGACACGACAGGCAATTCATCCTTCTACCATCTCTCTGTCTGATTTTAAAGATGTCACAAAGTTAAGACAAGTCAAAGAGCCGAAGAAGGAGAGGAGTCGGGCATCGCTACCCCCCAAGGCTGTCTTGGGCCCCAGCAATCTCTCCTTCCGAGAGCCCCTCTTGGCAGCACGCCCTGGGGGGGGGGCGGGGCCGGGCACCCGGCCCCGTG